CCCCCCCCCCCGGACGACCCCGCTCCCGCCGCGGAGCCCCCCCCCCTTCTCGCTCGCAGGGCCGCCGGCATCGTTCACGGCCGCACCTCCACCTCCACCCGCACCCGCACCCGCACCCGCACCCGCCACAGGCCCCTGCCGATTCCGTTGCTGCTGCTGCTGCTGCTGCTGCTGCGGGAGACGTGGAATGGGAGGGGCGGGAGGTTGCTGGGAAAGAGGAGATGCCGTTGGAGTCGCGGGAGACGACGCTGAGGAAGCCGTCGGAACGACGACGTATCTCTCCGAGGTTGCCCGCATGTCTCGCAAGAGCTTCCGGGCGACCGCTCGGGTGGTCCCATCGGTGCCGTCTCGAACGCCCCCGCTACCGCCGCCGTCGCTACCGCCGCCGGCGGTAATCGCCGCCGCGGCCGCGGCAGCGTCGGCGCCGTACTGCTTGTCGATAAGGACCAGGCTCTCCAAGTCTTCGTAGCCCAGCTTGCGGAGGCCGAGGGTCAGGCTGGCCATGTCCGCGTGGTGGTGGTGGTGGTGGCTGTGGTGGTGATGTCTGTGAGCGACAAAGAGCACATGCATCGGGGACGCCAAGGGGAAAACGGCATTTATGACGATGGTGGTGTTGGTGACACCTGCTAATACAACGCACTCGAACAGACACGACATCTGGTGAGTTGATATAGCGGGCAAACCTAAACATGCTAACGCATGCAAGGCTATTTCACACTCCGGGCGATATTCGGCCCACGTTTACAGCAGTGGCACGCAACAAAGAAAAGGGGGACGGAGGGTGCGCTCCAAGAGCCGAGAAGTGAGATACGGGTGGCCGGCTGAATCTTCACCTAGAGAGCACTGAAGGAATACTGGCATCATGATCATACGCTTTGCTCAAAACCCGTTAACTCCGATGTGATGTGATAGTCCAAGCTCGTAGCGGTAACTACAGGCTGGACGCCGTCTCTCCATGTACGCTCACTGACACAGCGCTCCTTTTCGGAGGTGAGCACATCACTAACAGCGGCAACAAAAGGAGAAACGTTTGTCTAGATCCTACGATACCACCTGCTATAATCTACAGAGTACCTGTGCTGTCCTCGGTGGTGATGGGCAGCCTGATGTGCGTGAGAACCACCGCCGCCGCCCCCGCCGCCACTGGCTCTGTGTGCGTGGTACACCGCCAGGTGCTCGAGCATTTGCGCCACCTCACGCTCCGAAAGCAGCCCGTCGCGGTCCACGTCAAACAGCTTACAGCGTCGTATGTTTTTCGATGTTTTTTCGTTAACCCGCCGGGTATTTGTTTTCAACGGGGCGATGTTTTGCCGCAGGAGAGCGTCGGGAACCGGGGGGAGAGGGATGGGGGTGTAACAGGAGAGAGCGAAGCGAATGCGTCGCGCCTTCGTCAACAAACAACGGACACAAAAAATATGGTGTGGTGCTCATCTTGAACAAAGAGGGGCCGTAAAAAGGCCAAAATGCGTGCTCGCGATGAGCTAACTACTGCAGCGGTTACAACATCACCATCACCAACAACTACACCACCACCACCACCACCACCACCACCACCACCACCACCACCACCTCCAGCAACAGCAGCCAAAGGCCGCGAATAGCAAACATGCACGAATAACACAGCAACCGCAACTTCCGCACAAAAGATCTCCCCCGTCCACCCTGACCCCCACCCTCCCATATCACCTTGTTTCCGGCTCCTCTCTCTCTCTCTCTCTCTCTCTCTCTCTCTCTCTCTTCTCACCTGGAACATCATGGACACGTGCTCCTGCCGCGGGTCCAGCACCCACGAGCACAGGAATCGGAGAAGGTCCGCCACCGTCCACGCCAGCCCCCCGGACTGCGCGAAGTACTGGAACACCCGACGCGCCAGGGTCTCTGGGAAGAGGTAACCCACGGAAGACAGCCATTCCTGCCTCGGGGTGGGGAGGGGGGGCGTACTCTTTTATGTTTTGCATGCCTTAGCGGTTAGACCATTGACCACGCGTCTTCGAGAGGACGGAGCAGGGGGGCGGGGGACACACAAAAAACAAGGGAGCATTACCCATGACGAGCGTGTGTTCGTGTTTTTGAATCTGCCACAAGGCTAGCGTCCTCTGCGTTGTCATCAGTCTGCCCGCTATCGGCGCTACTCAAAACGCAAACACACGAAGCCGTAAGTGCCGTCGATGCTATGTATTCGAAGAAAACTACAACGAAGCGGGGGGCAATTCCAACTGGAACGAAAATACTCCGTGCCATGGACGAGGCTCGTGCCAAGGAGGGGCGGGCGGCGGTGGAACGTTGGTCTTGGCCGCGTGGTGTGACAATGGTCTCGAGTCCGCACCAAGAAAAGAGCGAGTCAAACCCGAACGATTTTACGTCACATACATTTGTAGCTTCCAAGATAAATCAGTAGTGGTAACGAAAAACTTTGAGCGCTACGCTGGATCGAAGTCGGCAAAATGCGTGTCTTCCCTCCGTTGCAGTAACCACAAGAAGGTGTCTCTCTCTCCCTCTCTCCCTCTTTGTTTCTCTTGCTAATTCTCGCGAAAAGTCACGGCAGAAACATCCACATCTCTCCTCGTACAACAAAAGGAGACAGAAAAAAAACAGAACAACACGGTCCTCTGGACGCTCTCAAAAGGGCCGCTCCCCACGACCGCCATTCTATTGGGCACCTGAACATCGAGTGCGTTGGCGGAGCTCCGCCTGCAGATGAAGGCGTGACGCCGGCACAGCACGTCCGTCAAACCCGCCGACAGTTTGTACTTCGTCACCACCTATAATAACCGGGGATCGGAGGGGAGGAGAGGAGCGAAGCACGCGCGGAGGCGGTTGCAGCGGCAGTGGTGGAAGCACCATGCGTTCGACGAAATATAACAAAATCGACCGAGAGACAACTCAGAACAAGCGGACGCGTGGATCCATCGGTAGGACTTTGATAGCCTCCCCCCCCCTACACGGCCTCTCGCCGAATACCTTGCGGCTCTTCGCGCTTGGTGATGTGAGAGCCTGGTCCGGTGAGAACCCGGCGTGCTCCGTCCCGGCTTTGTAGGGATGCGAGGTCAACGGTCAAACGACTACGGCACGCACGACTATGAGTACCCCCCCCCCCCCTACCCTGCCTCGTACCAGTCGCTCGTCGCATCGCCCAAAACACATCTCCTTCGCCTGTTTCCCCCTACCGCCTCCATCCAATGGGTTCGGGGGGTTCAAGACGAAAGTCAAGGAGATGCTAGAGAGTAGGGAGGAGGCAACCCTTCGGAAGAAGATACGAAGCGAAGACCACTTGGAGATATACGGGAAGTTGAAAGAAGGGATAGGGATGAAGAAGTACTTGGACGGCCCCATGGACTATGCGAAAAAGCTGAAATTGCAATTTCGAGTAGGCGATCTGGACTTGCCAGAACGGAGGAAGAGATATACCAGCCGTAGGAGAGAGGAAGAGGAGGATAGACACACATGTCCATGTGGCAAATCGGAGGAGAGTAGACCCAACATAGTTGGGGAGTGTGAGTTGTACAGGAAGGAAAGAGAGGATCTCGAGGAGGAAATGAGACAGAGAGGGTGTGACATGGACAAGTTTGGTAAATTAGACAACAGCGAAAAAACGATCGCGATAATTGGGGATAGATGGTGGGCACAAGAGGCCCTAGAGGACGGGGATAAGATGTGCAAGAAATTTTTATGTAGTTTGTGGCAGAAACGTAAAGAGCTCCCAAATGTTGGTGGTGTCTATAGTAGGTGTAGGAACGGTGCTCCGTCTCGAAAGGGACGCGTGGTCAATGGTCAATTGACTACGGCAAGCAACAAATGAGTACGCCCCCCCCCCCCCCCCCCCCCCCCC